GTCGGCAATGGCGTTTAATGAGCATTTCCGAACGTCTCGATGATACCACACAGTCGGCAATGGCGTTGTGAGCATTTCCGGGCGTGTCGATGACACCACACGGTCGGCAGTGGCGTTTGTGAGCATTTCCGAACGTCTCGATGACGCCACACAGTCGGCAATGGCGTTGTGTGTTCCGCCTTGTCGGCGTGTTTGTGAGCATTTCCGAACGTCTCGATGACACCACACAGTCGGCAATGGCGTTGTGAGCATTGCCGAGCGATGTTCGCTGACGCTACACGTCGGCAATGGCGTTGTGAGCATTTCCGAACGTCTCGATGACGCGCACACAGTCGGCAATGGCGTTGTGTGGTATTGCTGACATGTTTCGTTGACACTTCTACGGTCGGCAATGGCGTTGTGAGCATTTCCAGAACGTCTCGATGACACCGCACACAGTCGGCGATGGCGTTGTGAGCGTTTCCGAACGTGTCATGACTTCTACACAGTCGGCAATGGCGTTGTGAGCATTTCCGAACGTCTCGATGACACCACACGGTCGGTAATGGCGTTGTGAGCATTGCCGAGCGTGTTGATGACACTACACAGTCGGCAATGGCGTTGTGAGCATTTCCGAACGTCTCGATGACACCACGCGGTCGGCAATGGCGTTGTGAGCATTCCGAACGTCTCGATGACACCACACGGTCGGCGATGGCGTTGTGAGCATTTCCGAACGTCTCCGATGACACCACGCAGTTGGCATTGGCGTTGTGAGCATTTCCGAGCGTCTCGAATGACTCCAGCACCATTAAGTCATGAAGGCAATGCTCGCGTTGATGTGTGTCATTGCCGAGACGTTCGGAAATGCGCTAACGCGTACTCCGTCGGTAATGCTCAGCGTTGTGAGCAGTGTGTCATCGAACGTTTCGGATGATACTCCCAACCCTGCAATGACGTCATCGAGACGTTAATGCTCGCAGTTGTGGTGACATCGAGAGCGTTCGGAAGTGCCCTCGGCGCCGTATAGTGTCATTGGCGTTTGATTCGAAAGAATGCTTCTCGGCGCCGTTGCCGTTGGCTGTGTCGCTCGAGGCGTTCGGAAATGCTCTACGCTATTGCCACGCTGCCGATTCGGAAATGCTCGTGCCTGTCGAAAGTACACCGGTAATGATGTTATCAGGATATTTAAATCGCCGACATTGCTGGACGTTCTTTCATTGCTGGATTTGTCGACGCGCCCGACTGTTAATCATGGCGCTGACATCTCTGGCTGCCGTATGATGATGGTAATGGATTCTATCCGCAACACCATTGCGTCGTCGAACATTCATTCACAACCCTGTGTTATCATCAGCGCTCGGAATGCTCGCTTGCCAGCCCATGATGGGCTGAGTGCTCGGCGTGCCGGCGCTGTGTGTGTCATCGGTTTCGTTCGAGAGTAATACTGGCTCGCCGATGCGACTGTATATAGTACGCTCGGCAGTGCTCGCAGCGCCGTGTGCCACGGCGCATTTGTCATTCGGACGACCGAATCTCCAAGCCATTACCCTGTAGCTCATTGCACCGCTCGTCACTGTTACGCACTGAGTATGCCGTTTTGATGCTCAACTCGGGTCTTAGCATCTTCCTGGCTAGCGCCGGCTGTGTGGCGTCATGCATTGCGCTCGGCGGGCAACTCCGCAGCGCCATTCCCGGCTGTGTGGCTGTCGGAAATGCTCACAACGCCGTGCCATCGCTCGAACTGTTCGGCATACGCCCTGTGTAGCCTCCCCAGGTGGTATCGAAATTGTCACGGCGCGTGATCATCGGGTTCGGACCGGAATGCGTGTTGGAAGCTGGCGTCATGGATATAGCATGCTCAGCGCCATTGGAGGATTGTTTGTGTCACTCAGTTTCCTTCTGGCGCTACCTTTCATGCCGATCGATACGTTCGGAACTGCTCTGGACGCCGACCCGCCGCTTGTGCGTTGTCTTCGAAAAGTTGAATGCTCAGCCATTACTGCCGTACCGCTGGTAAGTCATGAGCGTGCTCGGCAATGCTCACAGCGTACATTGCCACTTGTGTCTGGAGTGTCATCGATGGACGTTCGGAAATTCTCTGCAGCGCCATTGCCGGCTATGTGGTGTCATCGAGACGTTCGGAATGCTCCCAGCGTCGTGCCGACTGTGTGGTGTCATCGAGACGTTCGGAAATGCTCACAACGCCGTTCCGGCCGCTGTGTGGTGTCATCGAGACGTTGGTCAATGCTCTGCGCCATTGCCGACTGTGTGGTGTCGCTCGGGCTGTTCGAGCTGCTCTACTTCTGGTGCGCTCCGTTGGCGCCTGTGTACCTGGTCATGAACGCGCTCGGCATCTGCTCTGGAACACCTTGTGCCGACTGTGTGGTGTCATCGGGACGTTCGGCTAATATTGCCTTTTTTCGAAAGCGCTGGCACTATTGCCTGCGTGGTGTCTCGGGACACGTTCGGAAATACTGACAACGCCATTGCCGACTGTGGTCATCGAGACGTTCGGAGTAATGCTCACAGCACCGTGCTGACTGTGTGGTGTCATCGAGTATTCGGAATCTCTGGCGCCTTGTGTAAGTCATGAACTGGCTGGAGTAGTCGCAGCGCGTACCGGCAGTCATCGGGCGTTCGAAATAACTCGCGACGCCATTACCGACTGCGTGTCATCGTTGGCGTCGGAAGTACTCACAAGCGCCGTGCCGACTGTGTGGTGTTATCGAGCGTTGATTCGGAAATAACTCACACGCCGTTGCTGACTGTATGGTGATCATCGAAGTTGTTCGGAAAATGCTCACAGCAATTTGCCGACTGTGTGGGTATCATCGAGACGTTCCGGAAATGCTCACAACCGCTCATTGCCGACTGTGTGGATTGTCGTCGAGACGTCTGGGAAATGCTCACAACTCCGTACCGACTGTGGTGATCATCGAGACGTTCGGAAATGCTCTAGCCTCATTGCCGGCTTGTGTGGTGTCATCGAGACGTTCCGGAAATACTCTGCGCCGTTCCGACTGTTATGTCGGACGTTGGAAATGAGTGGGTGTCATCGAGACGTTCGGAAATGCTCACAACGCCATTGCCGACTGTGTGGTGTCATCGAGACGTTCCGGAAATGCTCACAACGCATATTGCCGACTGTGTGGTGTCATCCGGAGACGTTCGGAAATGCTCACAACGCCATTGCCGACTGTGTGGTGTCATCGAGACGTTCGGAAATGCTCACAACGCCATTGCCGACTGTGTGGTGTCATCGAGACGTTCGGAAATGCTCACAACGCCATTGCCGACTGTGTGGTGTCATCGAGACGTTCGCGGAAATGCTCACAACGCCATTGCCGACTGTGTGGTGTCATCGAGACGCTCGGAAATGCTCACAACGCCATTGCCGACTGTGTGGTGTCATCGAGACGTTCGGAAATGCTCACAACGCCATTGCCGACTGTGTAGCGTCATGAACACGCTCGGCAATGCTCACAACGCCATTGCCGACTGTGTGGTGTCATCGAGACGTTCGGAAATGCTCACAACGCCATTGCCGACTGTGTGGTGTCATCGAGACGTTCGGAAATGCTCACAACGCCATTGCCGACTGTGTGGTGTCATCGAGACGTTCGGGAAATGCTCACAACGCCATTGCCGACTGTGTGGTGTCATCGAGACGTTCGGAAATGCTCACGACGCCATTGCCGACTGTGTGGTGTCATCGAGACGTTCGGAAATGCTCACAACGCCATTGCCGACTGTGTGGTGTCATCGAGACGTTCGGAAATGCTCACAACGCCATTGCCGACTGTGTGGTGTCATCGAGACGTTCGGAAATGCTCACAACGCCATTGCCGACTGTGTGGTGTCATCGAGACGTTCGGAAATGCTCACAACGCCATTGCCGACTGTGTGGTGTCATCGAGACGTTCGGAAATGCTCACAACGCCATTGCCGACTGTGTGGTGTCATCGAGACGTTCGGAAATGCTCACAACGCCATTGCCGACTGTGTAGCGTCATGAACACGCTCGGCAATGCTCACAACGCCATTGCCGACTGTGTGGTGTCATCGAGACGTTCCGGAAATGCTCACAACGCCATTGCCGACTGTGTGGTGTCATCGAGACGTTCGGAAATGCTCACAACGCCATTGCCGACTGTGTGGTGTCATCGAGACGTTCGGAAATGCTCACAACGCCATTGCCGACTGTGTGGTATCATCAAGACGTTCGGAAATGCTCACAACGCCATTGCCGACTGTGTGGTGTCATCAAGACTTTCGGAAATGCTCACAACGCCATTGCCGACTGTGTGGTGTCATCGAGACGTTCGGAAATGCTCACAACGCCATTGCCGACTGTGTAGCGTCATGAACACGCTCGGCAATGCTCACAACGCCATTGCCGACTGTGTGGTGTCATCGAGACGTTCGGAAATGCTCACAACGCCTGCTTGCACGAGCTTTCAAGCCAGGGATGTGGACACTTCCACTTGGTGAATTCACGTTTTAAATTTATCCCCGAAAATACCAGTATATACAGGGTGTCTCAGGATTATCCGGACAAACTTTCAATGCCATTTCTTCCTATTTATTTCCTGTTTTATGCGCACACCTTGTCACTCCTAACAATCTTCGAGGTATTTTTTGAGGCACTGGCAAAGTTTCGCGAGGCTATGACATATCGCTTCGTAAAAAATCGAAGAAGTTTGAACGTAATTTCTCCCATCTGGCAAACCCTCAAAACGCATGCTGTTTCCGTCGCTATAAAAATCTTCAATATAACCGGCATAACAAAGAAACCATAAAAGAGATCGGAAATAATAAGTCCATGCTCAGCCCGGCCCAAAAACGTCAGGTTGACTCTAGGGAAAAAATCAGCGAGCCAAAAGATGAAATCAAGTGACGCGCCGCCGTATTAACCTTACAAGTTTTAGCCCGGAAGAACTCTAAAAATCCGATAAGATACTTTTCAAAGGATAAAAACCTAAATAGCTACAGTAACAATGATGTACAAGCAATTTAGACCAAGTTAGCTTAGATTTCTGAGGAGCTTGAGCACGAGCAACCTTCGAAACACCCTTATCAGCGATGCACAGGAAGTTGATATTATATTAGAAAATAATCATTGACATGACCAAACTTTGGCGCAAACAGGTCCGTTTTGCCAGAAAACGTCATATCTTGTCCAGAAAAAACGTCGGAACACTTTTTGAACCCTTGCCCCAAGTTTCGTGCTATTTAAGAGGCAAAAAATCTTACCGCGTTCTTCGCTTGATTCTGAAGTTATTCATGTGTCTTCAAAAATTTTTTTTGCTCAGAACATTGCAAACGCCTCAAAAACTCATATGAAATACATTAGGTTGAAAGACAAGAGCGCTAAAGGTGAAAAAATGACTATTTCGTTTTGTCCGGATAATCCTGAGAACACCCTGTATAATAGAGCAACAATAATATTAGGTTGGACCGAAAGTAATTGTAATATTTCGATTGTAAAAATTTTATGGAAGCCACCATTCGTTCATTCAAATTTTTTGCTATGATGGAGGGTTAAGTCTTGTCCAGTTTCAGTTTTATTTTTAACTCGGGACTGCTACAAATTTTTTAGTTAGCTGGAGAAGATCGAGCGCAATCCAGATTCCGGGTTATTGGTTTCCGTGAAGGATTTCGCCGCCCGTTCCGACCCTAGTGACCTGAATAAGTGATAGTAGATAGAGAAAATTTGGGCTATGCAGTGCATTAAAGAAAATTTTAATAGCTAGCTGCATTATTTTTTCCCAGATCCTACTATATATAAAAAAATAGTTCCTGTGTGTGTGTGTGTGCATTTGAATGCAACTTCCGTCACCGTGTCCGGAGGATATCTCAAGAGGGGAAGGGTGTTAGGCTACGTATGATACGTCATTGGGTGCCTAACGTCCCGAGATGACTGCACGCATATCAGATTTTTGCAAATTATGCTATTTTCGACATTAAAATTGAGTTTTTGTTGAAAAATCCGGCAGCCTTCTTTGTTAGGAAATAATTAGCATACGCCGGAAGTGGCGGAAGCCTATATATAACGTGAGAGAGTGGAATTCCTCATTTTCCCCCCATAGGAATTCGAGAGACGTATGCAGAGTGAAGAATTTCATCAAGTTAGACGGGGCCAGGGTTGAAAAGTCGCGAAGCGGCTTTTCAACCCTGGTCAATTTTAAAAGATGTCAATCTGGGTTTTTCGGGCTACGAATCGACACATTCCTTTGTCTGCCGTTTTCTCCGAGTTTAGTGGATAACTTTTTGAGTGGACTCTATCAAAATGAAGCTTAATGAAAGCTGTTGCATGTGTTATGTCTCCGTCTGGAATTGAGAAATGAAACGTGATTTTGAGCACATTTTGGTTTTATTTTTTTTCTCCGCGAAAGAATGGGTTTAGGGTACGGGTAATTTTAACACAGTAAATACTGTGGATGACCAATAGTACCGCACGATAGAAAAACCTTGATTGGCAAAGGTCAAAGAGTAGCAATGCAAATTGTGTGTCGCCAGCCATTCTCCGGGTCGGTCACTTGGTGCCTCACTACTTTGCAAAATTTGTTCAGATAAAGAAGGGTGGGAAAATAGCTGGGATTAGTATTATGTTTGTCAATAAAAACTGCCTATGATAAACAGATCAGATTTAATTTCATTAGCATCCGGAATATGGG